GCCATTACTAATTCTAATAATATTTGAAACTTTCAAAATACTTGGATGAATCTAATATGTTCTTAAAACCAAACCTGATATCCCAAAGGACTTCACTTGGATTATTGTAGTTTTCTTTTGCCTTGAAACATTTATAGACAACATAAGATCCATCACCTACTAATACTGTCCAGTGCAATAGATTAATAATTTCTTATCCACCTTTTCAAGAACAACAACAACAACGAAAAAAAAAGAAAGAAAGAGAGAGAGACAAAACAAGGTTTTTTGCAAATAAAAATGTACTTTTTGAAATTTATTAGTTTAGTCATTAAAATTACCCAAAAAACTTCATCAGGTTTGACTTCCAAAATCATTAGGGATTCCATGTTTCAATCACTTCTTTAAAAATGCTTAGCCAAGGTAGGATTCATTATTCCCTAATCATCAAGAGTACTGTGTCCTTATCCACATTTTTGATTTTTCAAGAAATGATAAACAACAGAATAAAATTATTTACCATATTTTACGTCAAACTTTATTTAATTTGCCAAATAAAAAAAAAATATTACTTTAGTTTTTACTTTATTTTCTAACCTGATAGTTCGTTCTTTCTTTTATGGAGTCTTCCTCTTTCGTATCTGGCAAATCCCCATTTATAGAAGAATCTGATAAAACAATATCCTCTTCGTTTGTCTTCAAATGTTCCTTGATAAATTTTTTCTCTTCCTTATCAAGCTTCATCACAAGTGAAAGAGCAGATTCATTCTTATATTCTGTTTCTTCAATGTTCTGTAAAAATATGTTTCAACATATAACAACTTAAAATAACTATGATAGTTTTTATAAAGATTATTTTTTTTCTCATGAAAATGCCTGTTAGTATATATTCACAAACGTTTGACAACCAGTTTACCAGGGTGTGGTTAACTATTCAGAACACTCATAGAGAAAATTGGAAAAAAATTACATGAATATACGTTACTAATAAAATATTCTACACTAATCAGAAAAGAGTGGAATTAATTACATTACAATTTCCCCATCCTTATTTCAGTGTCTTCTCAAACTTGGATATTAAAATTAAACATTAACAGATAAACTACAGACTTCAATATGTAGTAATCCTCTTCCTCAAGTGACATGTAAGACACCATGGACCCTATATGAAGACAGCAAAGTGTAACACAAAGACTCCAACAAACAATTAGAGTAAAATAAATGCCACTCAAAACTAAATCAAAATACAAGGAACTCAAAATGAGACAAAACTAAAAGAAGTTAACTGTATTGGTTGGTTGAATACGTCCAACAGAAAACATGCATATGTACCACCGGTGGCGCACAATGTCGTGCATGTGTTAATACAAGATACTTAATCTTCTATACAAGTAGCATAATAAAAATAATAATAAAAAACTGACTACAAAATTCAACATACTACAGAATTAAAATTATGGCAAGTCAGTAGATTATAAACAAAATTAATCTTATGAATTACAGCTTAACACTTGATGTATGAGTCAACCAGACCAAAATTGAAGGTTTTGAGGGTTTCCCCTCCCCCAAAAAAAGACTAAAGTCCGGAAAAAGAGAATGAGCTGAAAACCTCAAATCCACATAGTTTTCTGTGATACAACATCTGATGCTTGTAATACCAGGTGGTAAGTAGGCAGACAGGCCCGGCATGGCCAGGTGGTTAGGGCGCTCGACTTGTAATCTGAGGGTCGTGGGTTCGAATCCCCGTCACACCAAACATGCCAACCTCCGCCTTTGCCTGGTCCCAAGTCCAGAATGAGAAAGGAGGAGGGTTGAGCGTGAAGCTAGCAACTCCACCCCGTAAAAACCAACCTGCTACAAGTAACTGCAACAACAACTTTCCATTGGTGAGGTGTTGTTACGGCCCTATGCTTCACTGAGAGTTTACAGGAAAAAAAAATAATGGCAGACTCCAGAAGGGGGTGGGCATCCCTCCCATGACAATCACTCATAGTATATATCATCAACTGTTGTGTGATTGGTGCCCCATTCAGTGTCTCATTATGATTGGGTGATAAGAAAATAAAAAACAATGATTGGAAAACTTTTGGGAACTTCTCCACTCATCTTCTTCTATTACAGTATTATGGAGTAATAACTGCCCTAGTTCTGTCTCTTCATCCGTGAGGTGCTCAAAAACCAGCTGCAACAAGTGCAAATGCATTGTATCGCAATTCTCATTATCTATGCAAGTAATATGGCATCAGCCATATCTTCTTCCACTTCTTTTTCTTCATATTCCATTTCTTCATCCACTTCATTCTCATTATCTATGCAAGTAATATGGCATCAGCCACATCTTCTTCCACTTCATTCTTGTGCCTGACGATCAGACATAGACAACCAAAGAACATGACATGAGACAAGTGGAAAAGGCATACAACAAGAATAGCAAGAATATGGTGACACACATGGAATGAGAGACAGCCGAGACTGTTACAAAAGGACAATGCAATCATACAAACGAGGAAAGAGAGAGAGGGACAGAGAACTGAGACAGACAAAAGTAACAATTACACCACCGGGAGAACAACAGGGAGACACGGGTACAAACACAACAAATATCAGAGGCAAAACCAGGGCAGCTTTCATCACCAAATGAATGATGTGGATAAAGCTTTATCATATCATAATAGAGTTCTCAGGACTAACATTGCCATCCACAGTGTCATGATTAGCAGCACACTTGAGCTGAATAATATTGGATCTGATTTGTTGATCAGACAGAAATCCCTTGTTTCCAATCTCATTTCTAAACTTACTCTTGAAAATCTCTAGTCCTACATCTGGTTTTATAGTTGGTGTGTGCTACAAAAGTTCCACCAAGTCAGACAGATGAGATGTGGTGAATATGCAACTCCTATAAGACCTCACAATTGTCTTGTAAAATTTTCCCAAATGAGTTATCTCTGCTCTGATTTCACTCTTGGCTAGAAGATAATATTTCCCTGAATACTTTACCAGACATTCTAACATCCTTCCTGGGCCTCTCTTTTAAGAGGAATCTATCTCACCAAGCTCAAATAGCTCTTTGATATCCTCTTGGAATTCATGGATGGTTTTCCTGCTGTACATTTGGCCTCTGCATAGTGGAGTTGCCCCCACCTACAGACTTGCAGGTGTTTGGGACAGAGCTGTACATGTTCTCTTCACCATTTCTAACCTCAACAATGCCCAATTACCCAGACTGCAGCAAAAATAAAGATATCTTGATAACACAGGATCAGATGTCACGTTACTCAACTTCATTCTTCTCATCAGCATCAGGCACATTACATCGTGCTTTCCACCTACAGTATCTCAGCTGTGCCTCCTCTATTTCACCCTAGTTTCACTGCAACAGAAATCTTGTCATGATTGCAGCTACATCTACTGCACTTCAGACAAGTAATGTACTTTGAGACTTTGTAGTGGCATGTGAGCTTCTTCGTAACTTCCTTGGCCATCAATGTAAATATCAGATTGATCGCTGATGAGAGCTATGGTAATTTGTGAGTGGCAACAGCATGCCATTTTATGCTACTCCTAAGAAGTATAAAGTTTTAGGACCTTTTACTATCTTGGTAGGTGTGTAAAAGTGTGTTTTTTTTTTTGAAAGCCATGGATAGTTGCAGACAGTCAAGCATAAAACTGTATAGAGTGTGAATAATGAGAAGTGGATATGATCTTTTGATTCCAGAGATCAAAACAAAGTGTTTGGTGTATTTGGAAAAAGGCTATCTTTAATCCCGGAAATGGTTTTTCCGGAATTCTCCCTCCAAAAATGTCTGGTTGATTGATGCATTGGGTGTTAAACATATTACAAATTAAAATTTAAAACAGAATGTAAAAATGACATAACACAACAGATAAAACAAAACAGCATTTAGTGATTAAAATACAAATTGAAAGTAGAAAAACAACCAGAATAAAATGACAGTTCACATTAAATTGAACGTCATTTACATACATACAATTTATTTATTTTGCAAAAGATAGGGGTGGCTTAGGTTTCAGAGTCTTTCCTGTATGTGGTGGTCATTCTCTCAAGATCTCCCCAAGACTTAATCTAGATAACCATTATCCATTCAACCATCACATACCAACAACAGTTGATAAATCAATCACTCAAAAGTTAACAATCTCCTAAGTTGAAAATGTATTTTCAACAATACTTACCTTCTCCCACACTTAGAGTTATTACTCAACTGCTAGGATTTCTTTCTTTACCCATCTAAGTATTGGTCCAATTTTTTACTTGCTTGCTCCAGTCTTTTATACCCAACTCCTTGGCTATATTTATCTCATGACACTCTCTACCTACGTCAATGGATCCTCTATTCTGGTACTGTATAAAAGCACTTCATTCAGATAATCACTTTTTCAAGACTGACTCAATCCCAGTCTCTAAGCTAGCTCTTAGTGGGGATGAAAGGAAGAGAGTGTGAAAGGAGGTAATTTAGGAAAATGTTAACTTCCAAAACATACTTAACTCCACTCCTACTTATAGCTAGAATCCCACATTGGTAAGGTGAAGGCATTATCCATACAGAAATTGTCTGCATAGATCACAGGTGTGTCAACAGAAGATTGGCACCCTAGTGGGGTAACCACACTACATCCAGAACAGGTATGCTCTTCACCCGGGTAATTAATTCCTATATCATGGGTGGAATTTTACATGAGTTATCATCTCTATAGGCCATGGTACATATATCCCGTAGCCATAGAGTGATGCGTTCCGAGCCACCAGAATCATGACAAGAAAGTAAGCAACACTAAAGTGGACACACCTTCTCCTCAACCTGAAGAAGTCTGAAGGATAACACCCCAGGCTTGGAATGACGGAATCATGTATGCCTTACTCAACCAAAGGAAACAGAACTCCTCTTGTCTGGAATTATGAACATTTATCCTCACTCCCCAACCATGTGAGAAAGGCACATCCAACTTGCCTCTGGAATTATGGGGAGGATGTGGAACAACTATGCTCAATCAAGGACCTAGGATGGGACTACTCCACATTCAGAATTACAAGGAGACAGTGGACTCTCTTTCATGAACAATGTACTGAACCAACATTGATCAAAAAGAAGGGACATGCATACCCAAAAGTTTTTCCAGATTAAGTTTTTTTTCCAATTAGAATTATTATGATATTAGTTTTTAGCCTATTACAATTTTAATATAGTCCCTTAGGGATTTTCAAAAATTACAAGAGTCTATAATAACAGTACTCCAACAATACTATATTTGTCATGTCTTTTGTCAACAATGCATTGTATCTCAGCCTGCCTGTAGAGTTTTGGATTGAGTGAAATACGTCATTGGCAATGGATATGACAAATATAGTGTGGTTGAAATACTATTATTATACACTATTCCAATTCTTGAAAATCCCTAAGATACTAAAATAAGAATGTAGTGTTTAAAAGTGTAATAGGCCAATTACTAATGTCTCATGACAAGTATAAATGTAATGTATCTTTGTCAGCTTGTAAATGGCATACACACTAACAATTTTTTCTTTTTTGTGGAAAATACACTAATGAGAAATGCCAATTGAAAATTGAAGATGCCTATCACATTAAACAAAAGTTAGTTTGAAAAAAATCTTTAAAAAAATAAGTAGCTGAATGTAGGAAGACTAATCTTGTGAGAATCATCAATAAATTGAATATAATTGATCGATGAACCTGGAAATTAACACTTTCAATACAGGCTTGGGTTAATTTGACCGACTATATGACCTTTTTGTACTCATTTAAAGTCTTTATAGCTTTAATACTTATAACTCTCAATACAGTGGATATATCTTCACAAAATTTGGCAGTCTTTCAGTTAATATTACAAGTCTTTCACATACAAAAAATCATATTTCTCAGTGAAGTATTTTTAATAAAATAAAATAAAGATGTGTCCATGAATATATTGAGTATTCAATTTGAATAGTCCGCGTGCAAAGTAATTTTCATGTTAAAATTAAAAATACTTTTCCTCTTCTCAAATTTCCTTTGTGTAATCTCTAAAACCTCCTAAATGCATTTAAAACGTTTTTTCAGTAAAACTTTATAGTTTCCACCAAAAAGAAAATCGAATAAACCTAAATTAACCTTTTTTTCTTTCCAGAATGACTTCAAATTGCAATATGAAACTGCATTCATTTATCCTAAGTAGCCCTAAGTTCGTAACATTATACATCTATTTATAATTAATATTTTTTATTTTATTGCCTTTGAACCATGTCTAACAACTAATATCCATGCCATTATTAGTTGTCAATCACTCGGGGAATGTACAGCTCACGTTACACTATTAAATTACATTACCCGCCAGCTGCTCGCATGTGTGCCTTGTGAACCTTTTTAATTATTTTATTATTATTACTTATTTTACCTAATCTAGTCTTAAATAACTTAAAAAGATCCATATTTTTAGATTTTAGTTACTTTTAAAATTACACATAAAGAATAAACATGAAAAACAAAAATAAAGTACTTACCCAATCTGGATACCTGGGGTGATAGGGTTAATACCTCAGGCTGAATTTTTACACAAGATCTCAATTGGATTTAGTATGTTCTAAATTAGAACTTAGAAAAATTTGATATTTTTTGTAAGTAAGAAATACATACTGTAGGAGAGTGAGGTGTATTCTATATGAATACTACAACTTTCTTTCCCTTTATATTAGGCTTCTCATCAAGCCAACATTAATTTCAATTTAACACCAATTATAATGTCACAAGAAGATCTAGAGAAATCGCTTTAAAATCACAACCCTTGATTAGACTCAACACCACAATTTGGCCAAGCTCTTGTTGAGAGAGTTAACTCTTTCCATACAGGTATCCTTTTCTGCACATGACACAAGGTTTTACTGAGTTACACTTAAAATTTAATTCCACAAGATTACTATCATGGTACATAAATAAACTTGGGATCCAAATGTGAAAAGATTTACATTATTAATTTTATAAGGCAATATTAAACAAAATCCTCAATTTCCCCTAGTATAAGAATTGTGACATTTGTTCTCTAGGTCTACCCTCTTCTCTAATTTATTTACCACCCATCCGAGAAGTACAGAATAACATAAATTATCATTATAATACTGATATTACTAAGCATAGCCATAAAATAGAAAATGAGATCCCTTTTGCTATGTCCATCTGTCACATCCTCTCTTTCGTAAATTGCCAATAGTTCTCTATGATACTTAATACTATATTATTTATAACCAATAGAAAGCCAAAGTTTTAATCTATCATATGATGTATTATATTACATTGTTTTCTGTATAGAGAATTGTCTATTTTGCTTCCAGTTTAAACTTTATTCCCATGAATTTTTAACAGCTCTTATCGCAGAGTTAGAAAGGCAGAAAAATTATGACAGTTATAGGACATTGGCTAGCTTTTTACGTGTTATTATCCCTCTCAACACGGGATTAGTTGAATTGATCGACCTTGTAAGCACTTTGTCTCCATACTATAACTTTTAATACAGTATGTGTATCATCACAAAATTTGTAAGACTTTTAGTAAACATTACATGTCATTTGTACACACATTAAAAGTTTTTTTTACTAAAGATTTGTGTGTGAATATGTTGAATCTTTTTTTTGACTAGTCCGAAGGGAAAGTGAATTTTATATCAAGATTAGAAATATATTTCTTTGTCTCAAAAATATCAAATTTCATCTGTGTGTCATCTAAAACCTCCAAAATAAACATAAAACTTTTTGTTTTAGTAAAATTTTATATTTTGTCTGTTATTATCTCTACCCTCATAATATATTTGATTCTTCAGTTAGTAGACAAATCATCAAATTATAATGAAAAGTTGTAAAATTAGAAATGAAATGAGCAGCTATGCCCTTTTTTCTTTATTATTCCTCACGATGTCTCAAAGTACTTCTCTTGAGAGTTTAAACTGCTAAACATTTCACATTTATTTTTTGTGTTTATTTTACTGTGAATGACTGAAGTAGAGATCTGCTGAAAATAAAGCAACAAATCACCACTCGTGTCATTAGACAGTTTATGTGACACAGTAATACAATATTCTCAAGAGCAACAAAGCACGCATGAAAAAATAAGCCGACTTATTTCTTGCACTGAGAACACGATGTGAAATTTATCAGCTTATGTATCCTACAGTGTTTGCAATGAGAATTCCCCAGAGTAATAAGATTGCACTTTAAATCTGTGAAAATGTCTATAATATGGTTCGGAGCCAATCCAATAAACATTGCAAGTGTGTGGGTATTGGTCATCCTTCTGGAATGTTTGGAATTTAGAAGTATACTATATAGGCATACAAAGATATTATTTGTGCACATGGTTATAAAATCCTATTTCCCTTTCAGCAAATTCATTCATCAACCAATAAATACTGTTCATTCACAACTGCTTATTTTTTAGTTATTTTTATTAAAATATAGAACAATAAATAAAAAATACTTCAAAAAACAGATTTTGAGTATTTACAATGTCATGAGATTTTGTGCTTGTGCATCTCATGTGTTAAGCCTCACTGTAAGGCTCGTTTATTCTTCTGAGTGGAGGGTGAAGAGATATCAATTTTTTGTAGGCTTCAGATATACATTTTAAAAACAAAATAATTATCAACTTACTATATGAATGCACACAAAACTCCTATAATTTATCTGAGTTTCTAAAAAAGCTATATATAACTTTAAAAAATCTCATATCTGTTCACAGCAACAACTTAGTCATCACACTTGAACAGTTTTGGAAAAATTATGACTTTCTTCTTCAAGCTATTTACAAATGACTGTCAGATTTATGTGCATGGAAAATGGCTCTTTCTCTTGGTAGGAAACATTTAGTCAAAAGAAGTAGATGGGACCAGACATGAGGTTTCAAAAGAATGGAGCAGTGGGAGGAGCTACTCTACTAGATTGGTTAAATATATTGACACACCAGAAATTCAAAGAAATGGGAGGTTTTTATTTCTAGCTTACCTATATCTCAAAATCAAGTTTCTAATTCATTAACCACTGTACACTTTTTATGGTAGTCGTAATAAAATATAAACTGACCAATAAGACAATAGGAGGTGCTACGTGACAAACAAAAATAAATATTTAATATTCTTGCTTGATATTTCCTTTTAAATTAAGAAATTAAAACACATATATAATACTAAAATTTGAATTATAACCCACGTTTTGATTTCAATTTTATTGACACAAGAAACGGTAAAGTTATTTAATAACATTTTGAAAATAACTTGCTAACAGGTCATGACATGCACTCTTTAACCTGCCTGCAACAAAAGGGTTATTCTGTGTTTTTAGGTGTATTATTTAATTAAATAAAAAAATGTTTAGTGCAGTATCACCATTAGTGTAATAAAGTAGGATTAAATTTTGTCAACAGCAAAAAAAAAGAAGACCCAGGTAAGTAATATATTTCTTGTTTTTCATATGTATTCTTTATTATCATAAAAGTAACTAATATGTAAAAATGAGAAAATTTTTAAGTTAGATAAGGTTAGATTAGCTAAAAGAAAAAAAAACCAAAAAGATAAGAAAAATTGTTCAAAATGTATGCCTGCAACCAACTTGTGAGTAATCTGTTCCTGACATAATTCGATAGGGTAACGTGAACTACACATTCCCCATGTGATTTACAACTTGTGTGGTTCAGAGAGAAATAAAACAATAACATTTAAGTAGAAACAGATGGATAAAGTAAGTTAACTTTCCTTTATATTTATATGCAGTTCATTTTACTTTCTGACACTACTTCCACCTGCATCAGCTACTCTTCAGTTTTCTCTACTAAATAAAATGTTTATGGTATTCAATCTTCAAAACCACTTCTTGTCTTTTTCAATCTACATATTAAATCTACAAGCTTCTCCTTTTTGCAGAGATCAGGTAACTGTTTGCAATTATAACCTCAGATTACCACAAGGCCATTTAAAATGTAACCTAAGGTTCTGGAAGAAAACACATCATACTATGTCACACAGATGGAAATAAAATATGATAACGTGTAATGCACAGACATGCAGCTTACTTTATTATATTAGTAAATCCAAATGTAATACATAATAAACAGATCTTTCAAGCATGGGTGGTATTTGGAACTTTTAAAAGTTGAAAGTATGGAAATAGATTATATTTTTGCTTTGCCAATATCTTCCTAGATTATGCTTATTTCTGGAAATTACATCACTCTTAAGTCCTACAGTTCATTCTGCAGAAGACAAAAACATTTAAAGGTTACTGTAGAATATTTTGATTTTGTTATTCTAATTTTAATTAAAAATCTTCTTTAATCTGGTTTCAATTCACACAACATAACTTTGTACCCACAGTGTCCTTTCTTAGTGCTTTGAATATATTTTGGATAGGAATTTTTTATAAAACACTGAAATAATGCATCATATTATTGCATACTGCAACACGTACTATATTATATCATAAAAAAGGATCATATAACTCTCTGAAGAGTTAAAAAATTCAACAATTCTCATACAATATGGCTTAATTTTTCTTAACATATCACCTTGGATGAAGTTTTAGGAGTAGCACCGTTGCTCTTCTTGGATTTCCTATAAGGCTTGACATATGAATTTTTACATGCAACACGGTGATTAGACACCCACTTTCTTCCTAATTGATGAACTTCCACATCTCTATAAGATATAAACAGATACTTACTGAGATTCAAATTAAGGAAAAATTCTTGTGTATTAACTTTAATACTCACAAATTTACCACAGACTTAAAAAGCAGTGCTTTCTATTTAATTTTGTGGAGAATTATGGAAGCAAATGAGAAAAAGATCTAATTTCAATTGGAAATGTTATTGGCAATTTAACTCAAGTATTCTAACAAAATTTTCATGTAAAGTATGCAAGCATCCAAAAACATAGACAATTCAGAAAGAAATATGAATGACATTCAACAAATTTGAAATAATCAACTATGAAACAAAACCTATCTTTACCACAGTACAATCTATTTATCTATAACATCATCACTTCTTTGTGTATTTAATGTTTAACCTTTTGCTACTACATTCCAAATATATCATCCTTATTACAAAAAATTCAAACAAATATTGTATCTTTAAATGAATAATTGCTGAAAGACCATAAGAAATAACTGTTATGAATTTTAGGGATAATCTCTAAACATTTCTTAGATTGCAATTTGTTTGGTTTCAAACCCATTTTTATTTTATTATTAGAATAATTCTTGAAGGAAAGTAAATACAAAAAACATATTTTGCAGAAAAGAATAGCAATATTAAATATCAAAATCCAATTTACTAAAATTATTTTGGGCAATGATAAAAAAAAGTGTATTATTGTATTTGATGATTTTTCAGGTCTATTATTTTTATCTAACCTGTTTCGTGGAATTGCTGGAGAACACTTCTTGTGTTTTTCTAACAGCATTGCAATATTCTGGAATGCGGTTCCATTAAGCTGTAGGTAACGAGCCCACAAATTTAGAACAACCTCCTACAGGGCAAAAACAAAATATTTTTGTCACATGCAAAAGTAAATCAATAAATTTATAGAAGTTCCTTTAAATCTATTTTCTACAAGTAATGCAGGAGGATAAAGAAACAACTTTCACAGACTTAAATATATGAAAACACAAAGTAAACAACACATTTTCTTGACTCTTTTTACTAGGTTTTAAATTACTTTAATGTGTGTACATTGATAAACTACTTTAATAGGATCCTCAATTAATGCCAGATTGGATCACCATTTACTACTGTAATAACCTGGAGATAGCATGGTACAGCGTGGAGATAGCATTTAATGGAATATACATAAATTATAATATATTAAGTTAAATAAAGAAAGAAAGACAGTCACTAGGTAAACAACAATGTTCACTGCCTGAATACAACTTTAGTTAAGAAGCTAAAAGCTTGAAATAAAAAACAAATTTGCATAGTGAATGTCCAATTTCTTTATGTATTACATAAAAAATACCTACATAATGAGCCTAAACAACAATTTCTTAGTTATACTGTACAAGGGTCAAACCCATGAGATTTCCATGTGTATTAATTTCAAGGTTAACCTAGAACATGATTACTGGCTACACATTCAAGAATCTGAAGGACACACACAGTGATTTCTTATGCTGGAAATAAAAACGCAGTGATGAAGTCAGAAATAAAAATAACATTCTTTATTATTGAAGGTGAAGCAAATAATGCCAACCATCAAGTGTTAAAAAAAAACAGGAAAATAACAAAAACAAAGTTCAGTGAATAAGAACAAATTTTCACTCATGAGTAATTTATATTCACATAGCACCTTGTCTGTAGCTGATCAATTAGAAAAATGGATTACAAAAATCTGAGAATACCTCTGCTCTATGTGACAGTTGTAAAGCAGTCCTCAATACAACAAGATAAAGTAAAATGTAATAAAAGTACTCCACTAAACAGTACATAAGTTCCTTAACCCTTCCATTTCGGGTTGGGTGGAATCCACCAGGCTCGTAACCACGAGAATATCCATGAGAGTAACTATACTATGATTTTTGATAACGTGTGCACATCTTTACAAAATTTTGCAGATTATTGTTAAACATTACAAGATTTTCGTATACAAAATATCAGGTTTTTAAATTAAGTATCAAGATTTTTCAATTAAAGATTTTTTTGTAAACCTTTTTCTTTCAGAATGCTGACTATCCAACATACAAAGCAATTTTGATTTCAAGATTAAAAATACTTTAATGCATTAGAACATTTTCAAATTTCATATGCAAAATCTTTACAATCTCCAGGTAATTATCAAATTTTGTTTAGAAAAACCTTTACATTTTATTTTCACTACTGTATTTCTGTATGGGTTGGTTTGATTGACTTCATAATCTCAATAAAAAATTAGAAAAAAAATATAAATTATGCTTTTTTCGTTCCAGAATGACTACAGATTATAACACGAAAACATAAATGTTTAGACTAAATAGCTTAAATCTCATAACATTATACATTTATTATATTGACCTTTCAGTCGTGCCTGGCTAACAATACAGAAGTTATAATGGCGCAGCCCACATACACTCATGTTACCGTATCCAATAATATAAAACTGACCTTTAGTCTTTACAAACTGACCTGTCTTGGCTGTGTTTTAGTGGACTAGTATTTTGTAAAATACAGTCACATTTCAATTATTATACATTGTTACTATTTACAAATAAATTCTTAAACTTGTTTTTCTTAAACATAGAACAGTAAATAAAAAAGTAAAGCAATCAATTATCTCTTCTATTTATGACATTTGTACTCATTTGCCACTTGTCGAAGGTTACTAAGCCTTATGAAATTTCCCTCGTGGAGGATGTGAAATTTTGTTTTTTAGGTTTTATATATACATTTGAAATAACCAAAAAATCATAAATTACTATATATTAATACCATAGAATTTCACTATAATGTATTAAGTGTAGAAACTAAGCTGTATTTAGATATAAAAAAATATGAAATTTTGTGTGAAAAGAACAAAATTAACAAACAACATGTCAAAATGGCTGAGAAAACCACTAGGAGGACATTCTGAGCTTTCAACTGGTTATTCATGTCATATATAGAAGTAAGTGTATATAAGGGACCATTTCCAAAAATAAAAAGAGGTGGGCAGGGAAGCCACTGTGTTTGATTCAGTACATGAGCGATATCTTAGTAAATAGAAAAGATAAGAGGTTCTTATTTTATATTGTAGCTTGTTAATATTAGTAGTTTGAGTTCCTAATTCATATGAAACTGTAGATTTTGTATTTTGACATAACAAACATCCAATCTGAACTAGTATTGCATTCAACATACCATGTGACACACAAAAACCGATGTTTAGCTGTGTTTTTTAATATTTACTTTTAAATTAAGAAATTAAATAATGTATAATACTAAAATTTGAATTATAATCCACACTTTGATATCAAACTTATTGACATAGATTCACAAAATAATAGTTCAATAAAATTTTGAATACGAGTCAACACATGCAATGACATGTAATTTGATCTGTGTGAAGAGGGTTAAGATTATTACCATCAAAATTGTACTTATAATTCAAATTATAACCCACATGCATTATCTTGCATTCATTATAATTAAAACACATTTGCCCAGCTCACTATATGATCTAAATCCTTTTGTAAATCAGCAGCATCCTTT